ACTTCCTATATGGTAAGTCATTTTTATACTGATATAGATAGTGAATTGGTGGGTTTTTGTTAAATGTGAGCCAAAATCATCACAATTAAAAGAACCAAAGACTTAAACTACTTCAGTCTGTGTGCATTGAATTTATTTAATACACGAGTTTCACAATTTGAGTTGAATTACTGAAATAAACTAACTTTTCCACGACATTCTAATTTATTGAGATGCACCTGCATGTAACTTTTGGCGCTCTAGCGGTTAATAAACAGAACTGCACACATCCCGCGGAAGAACATTCCAACCTGAGCTACTTCTCGAAGTTTATGTCTACGGCGATTCACGCAGGTATGTGTTACTCCGCAGCGGTGACGACCAGGCTACAATAGTCTAAATATTAAGTAGCTACTTATTATAAGTGTACTGTAGTGATTCGGAATAAGACAAAAACGTGGTTTGGAAGATAATTTCATGATGTACTCGCTCAATATATACATTTTGCAAATTTTGAACACAGAAAAAGTTACATAGTGCTGCTTTAAAAGAAAGCAGGAGGGTTAAAAACTGAACTTTGATTGATTTGATATCAATCACAAAAGTCATATTTCTCAGAATCAGTGTTAATGTAGTTACTGCATTTTATTTTCATACAATCTAGTAGTATTGACTTTAACAGCCAGGAAAAAAGAAATATGGATCTGTTGTAGCAACTACAGCAGTTTTCATGAATATTTTCTGCACTGTGCATTCAGCCGACAATAATGGTGTAATTATGTGCAATAAATAGTCATGGAATAAAGAGAGAGAAGTTCCATCTGCCCTGTGTAATTGATTCCGTTTTTGAGAGATAACTGTGCAATAGCACTAATTGATCACAACAGAGTATCACATGGCATGGAGCAGAGGAAGTTTTGTTTGTTTTGAAAAATATGAACTGTACAGATGACTCCAAATATTATCATCCTACAAATACTGACATGAGTCAAAAGACTCTTAAGTTGCTGTATTACAGATAATTACAATATGGAAAGTGAAAGATGTGTTTGGTGGGTTCTGATGTAACGTTACAGGGTTTGAGTTACGGGGAATTCCTCGCGCTGGGGGAACTGTGGTGACCTTAGAGACCACGCTGTGGTTCGCTGTCGAAGTTTGAGTATGTTTGGCTTGTCATGGAATTTTATCAATTTTCCTTTTGTCAGTTTGTAAACTTATGTTTTAAATGTTTTGTATTGTGTGTTTTTTGTTTGTTTTAAGATCTCGACTTCTGTAGTATGAGGTAAGAGGTACACTTTAAATATAAAGTGGTACTTGACAGACTATATATGGCGCTAATAAAAATATAAAATATGTGGATGACGACAATTGGTGAAACTCAAATGTTTTTATTTAAAAATATTTTATTAAGCATTATATATTTTTGTTGAAATTTAATACAATAAACTACATATAATGTTATGCGTGTGTATACATTTTTACATTTTGCAAAATGTGTTTGCATATTTATGTCTTTCAGATGTTATATAATATAGATAATGACGTATAAATAATATAAAAATGCAGTATGTGTGTGTGATATATATTGCAAATATATTTGTAATGTGACTTTCATCTAAACACAAAATAAATAAGATATAATGATATTCTTATACACACTTAGTTCCAGTGACAAGTTTATTCAAGGCATTTTTAAAATTCTCTGTTTCTTATATTTAGTGGAATAGCTGAAGTGATCGACCACATCATGAGTTTGTGAGGGGCAGGTCCGCGCGCGTCCGCTCAGTCAGTGACATTTAAAGCGCGTGGCTGAATCAGTGTGCGCGTCACACTCTCGCCGCTGCTGGCGCTTCAGTTTAGTTTGTATTCTGCCCACCTACAACTCATAGGCGAAAGACATGGCGTCCGTCACTTTAGGACAGCACCCTGCTCAACACCACCTCGACTCGGATCAGCAACTATTTCACAAACTGGAGTCGAGCGACGGGAAGAAATTCACGCGCAAGTGGTCGCTGGACAAGATCATCATGCGAAACAGAGCGAGTGATGTGGACGGCGCGAGAGCCGCAGTCTCAGCATCGCTCGTGTTATTCAATCACGAGCCCCCTTCAGCATCACACAGCCGAGGCTGTAGTGCCGGTTCGCCACGTAGTAATATGAACAGATCGATTGTGGCCATGGACAGAGAGAACGCCAACAATAATAACGGAATATTTCGCAGACACAGTGCCAGGAGCCGGAGAAGCTCAGTGAAGGACACGGCAAAGATCCACGCGTCTTCATCACCACAAGAAGTTCGCAATTCCTCGACGCGGTCAAACTTCAGCTGCCCGCCAGACGAACTGGAGGGACTGCCGATCGACAAGCTGACACAGGCAAGGTCAGGAGTAGTGAAGATGCGAAGCGAGCCTCTCAGGAGGGAGGCATGGTCCATCTTCAACCAGAAAGACCCGAGGGTGAAGGCAGAGAAGGGAGAAGGCCACATCTTCATCTCCAGGCAGCTGAGCCAGGACTGGTGCGACGCCTGCAACCGCCAGATCAGCAGCGCTGCGCTCAAGTGTCGAAGTAAGTGACCACTATCTCTCCTCTCCTCTCCTCACCTGAGCTGACCTTAGATAAACAGAGGGATGAATGAATGTAGGATGAACGGAAAGGTAGATGGCCTGACGGATAGATGAACAGGTGGAAGATTAGATGGATGAATGCATGGAAAATGGATGGATGAATGGAGGATGGATGGATGAATGGGCGAATAGTCAGAGGGATAGATACAACAGATAGATGGCGGGATGGATAGGTAGATGGATTGATGGATGAGAACAGATAGAATGATGAATTGGATTGATGAATGCATGGACAAATGATCGGAGAGGTAGAAAGGCAAAATAGATTTATAGTTTGGATGTAATAATGGATGGACAAATTGGTGGAGGATTAAATGGATGAAATGGTCGGAGGGTTAGGATGAATTGGTGGATGGACAAACAGGTAGAGTTAGATGGACGGAGAGATGGGATGAATGAATATGAATATAGAGTGGATGCATGGACGAGTGGTCAGAGGGATAAAGAGATGAATGGATAGTTGGATGGATGGATGGACTGGGTGGTAGATAGATCAAGCGTTTTTGCTTGTTCATTTGTTGTAAATTGTCGGCACACGTAAGAAACTCTAAACTTAAAGGCTTGACAAATGTTTAAGTTGTAAAAAAAAGAGGGGGAAATCTGTACTTTAATGAGCAAAACTTCTTCAGAAAGCTGTTCAACATTCTTTTATATCAAAACCATGAGATAGCTAGTTGTTAAACAAGAAAGAAAGAGAAAGGAAATGACAGAAGAGAGAACCATACAAGTGTTTGTTTTGCTAGTTTTTCTGCTGAAGGGGTTGTTGGTATGGCTCCACTGTTATAGGAACTTCCAGTATGTCTAATCAAGATAAAGCATGCTGATACATGTGGAGGGTTTACAGAGGCTGAGGGGGGAGTTCCCAGCAGAGGTCATTGTTTGTTTTTCTGTTTCATTTTTTGTCATGTTTGATTAGTTTTATATGAAGGGGAAGGGGGCACTCTGAAAACCCCCCAGATCCTTGGGGATTCCTAAATGAAGTACTGTGACCCACAGGGGTCTTTGATTTTTTTGCTAGTAGAGATAGCAATGAGGAACATTTGAAGGATGTGAGTGAGGTTCCTTTGCCTTTTAAATAAAGTAAGAATCTGAAGTGGCACTTCTATCACAGGATCTAATTATTTGAATTTTTCTTAATCATTTAGAGATACTTGCTTCCTCTCTTTGCATTCTTTGCTTCTGCTCTGGCATTGATGTTGTACCTTGATGTTGTACACTCCACCGTCCCATCATGCTCTTCAGCTAATTCAGTTATTATATGCCCTTTTTGCTTTTAAAGGGCTGCTATGACAAAACCCTCTGTTACAAATAAAATTTCCTTGGATAGGTTTTTTTTAAAAAGAGAACCAAAATTGAATTCCGTTTAATTCTGCTTGAGATACAGAAATAGATCTGTGAATGATGTAAAATAGAATGGCGTTAGCTTTAAAAAATAAAAATAAAAAAAAAAGCTTCGCCAATGTGGTTTATTTTAGAGATTAAATTCATACAGTGCTAGAATGTGATCTGAAATGAATGAGTTTACCCCAGTGCACCCTGAGAACATAAGGTTCAGTTTGTGTGTTTAGTTTTGTGTGTTTGTCACTGTGTGTGCACATATGGTGCATCTGTTCGCTCGTGTATGTGTGTGTGCATGTGTGAAGCGTTGCTGAGTTAGCAGTGTGTCAGCAGTTCTCTGTTGGAAAAGGTACTGCAGTGAACAGCTTCATAAGAGGCAGACAGTGAAATTGCATGGGCTTATGGAGTGTATCATTTAAAAGTTGGGGATGATTCTAGGATTATACATTAACCCCAATGACTGTTCTGCCCTTCCAGTGCAGTGAAAAGTCAAATTTGGGCATCTCTTTAGTCTGTTCTTTATTATCTTTCTTTATAAATAGTCCTTTTAAAGGCATAGTTCACCCACAAATGAAAATTAAGCTTTTTGTTCTTCTATTTTTTTGACCATACAATGAAAGTCAATGGGTACATTGTTGTTTTGGACCCCACTGACTTTAGTTGTATCGACTGAAATGGTTGAAACATTCTTCAAAATATCTTCTTTAGTGTTTCACAGAAGAAAGTCATACAGGTTTGGAAAAACATGAAAGTGCATAAATGATAACAGAATTTTTTTTTGGGTGAACTGTGCCCTTTAATTCCCATTTCTATTTTTAAATTGTACTTAAAGGAGCAGTTCACCTCAAGATTGAATATTTACAGCCAGTGGAGCAGAATGTTGCATCTCTCCCATACTGAGCCGTGAAAATGTAGTGTGTTTGCAGAAGCTCCTTATCACATTTCATAGAGTTCCACTATTTTCATTGAAACCACAGGAGTTTTAAGCACTTGTTCCTCTTTCTCTTCAACCTTTCATTGTAAATGTCAGGGTTGGGTGTAATTTTTCCTGGTAGTTTTGTTGTGGTTTGTCACTAAGATTCACTGTGGGATACTTTGGGGATTTTCAAAATCGAAATTTTGCCATTTTCAGTTCATGGGGGTTTTACATTCCATGAGCATGTCCTGATATGCCTCCAACATAAGCATTGGTTTGTAGTTCCTGTGTTGAGACGCCCCTAGCAGAGTTATTGCACATGACCAAAAGTCACTCATGGGGAAAGCACAACATTGTTGTAACTGTTGCTTTTTTGTTTAGAAGTGTCTTGGAGCATGCTGGGAAATGGTGTATTTAAGAGGTTGCAGTGGTGCAGACGGGCTAAAGATGGAGCATCTTGACTACTACAGATCACTATTTTAGTGCACACAGCCAGTAATTATACACACTGAATGAAAGAGGCAGTCAGAGGACATCAGTGGTTACGTTCGCCTATAAACAGCTCCAAGTTTGTGCTCATACTCTCTCCGAAAGGAAAGAAAAATCACAAATCAGTTCTCTTTAATATCTCGATTGTTTCTCCTAGACAACAATACGATTCAAAACAGAACAAATAGAGACTTTTGCTGAAGTCACCTGATTCTCAGATGTTTGAGGGGAAAAAATAAATAGTTCAAACTAAAATTAAAGTTCTGTCATCATTTATTCACCCTTATGTTGTTCCAAACCTATACAACCTTCTGCAGAACATAGAATAAAAAATAAGGTGTTTTGTCCATAAAATGAAAGTACAATGTTGTTTGTACTCCACTGGCTTTCAAAATATATTTTGTGTGTGTGTGTGTTTTCCATAAGAAAGGAAGTCATACAGGTTTGAGGGAGGTTTTCATTTTTGGATGAATCCCTTTAAAAGTCCCCTCTACAGTTTCAGAGGAGTATGTCTGGCACTTCACTCATTCACCAAGTAACAAAAGTCTACAATAATAAGTCATTAAAAACATTTAAATATGACTTTAAACATTTCTTATACAATTTTTCCAAGATTATCTGAGCTGTGGTATTCAGTACACATTATTTTTTATAGCTCTACACTGTAAAAAGTGGTAAAAATTGTTGCCTTAAAAGGGAGCTGTTTCTACCTGATCCAACATTTCAGTTTATTTTTTTTATTTTTTTTTTGGTCTAACTTTGGTGTATTTAAGTTGATTCAGTGCCGTTAAATAATTTTGGACCAATCTGCATTTTTGGATAGAATAACTTAAGGTAAATGTTAACAAATTTTTGAGCATTTTTTTTTACCATTGTATTCTCTTACCGTATACAAGCAATACTCTCATTTGAAATTCAAGACATTTTTATGAAAGCATCTGAAATCTCTATGAAATCCCCTGAGCTCTAAAAGAATCCTTTGAGCAATAAAATGTTCCTCTAAGACTGCTTTTTCTTGCTCAGCCAACATACACTGTCAAAACCTGAAAGCTCTCATCAGTCATCGATTGCACAGACGCTTAGCTAAACGGATTGTGAAAGACGTACTTAATGCTCTATTGCATTTAGAACTACCATTATAGAGTTCAGTTTCTGAATTATATTCCCTTTATATGAAGGATATGTGTTATGCTGAGTCACAGCAGGTTTAATGAAGGAGAATGGGTGATTTCTCTTCAGGTTGCCTGTTCATGTGACGCTCCACCTCCCTGCTAGTGTGACTCAGAGTTAACTGAGTGAGAGGGTGTCTTAAAAAGGGTTCCTCACTGCATGGGCCTGTCTCAAAGCATCAGTCTTACCTTTTCTCTCCCTCTCCTTCAGTCTGGCTTTATTTGCCTAATCTGGCTGGGTTTTTGGCAACCTCCCCCACCCAATTCAGCACCCATCCCGTCTGCAGTGGAGGGATGCTGCCTGTCTGCCTTTGAGTTTAATCCAAGCTAGAGTAAAACTGTGTTTAGCCATATTGCAGATGGATTATAGCTTATGGATGCCAGTCAGACATCGGATTGATTTTTAATTAAAAGTTTCAGACAGACTGTAATACTAGAAAGAGGAATGTCTTCCTTTTGGCCTCGGTGAGGTAAAGGGATGCTGCTGGGGAAATGTAATGTGTTACATGTCTTACATTGGCATTATACTAGGCTGTCCTTTCTTTCAACTGAAACTGAAACATTTATAGCTTTTACATCACATTACCATTCAATTCATTTTTTTTTTTTTCAGTTAAACAAGATAAAAAAACGTGTAAATCAAGTTTCCTGCATCCCCAATTCTTCATTTTTCAATCTAAATCAACCCCCTGGCTGTGTGCACCACAAAATGTTATTGATGTCGTAGATGTTTTAGTGGTTATGTGTGCGCAGAGTCAACCTTGTTGAAACACACGGTTATACAGCAGAAGCTTTGTTTACTTTCTCAATACAACATTCACCTCAAGCGACAGATGGACTGGGCCTATTAAATCATCATTTCCTGTTTCAGTACTGTGGCTTCACGGTATTCAGAGGCAGGATAGGCAGCTACTGCATGAAGGCTTCATTGGTTGGATATTAGTATCAGGCAGTCAGTTTGAGTTGGAGGTGTAGAGTGGGCTGTGTTTCATGCGTGTGTGAAGTAAAGATGTGTTAATGAGGTCTGTG